CTCTCGGTGCCGCGCCCCTCTCTGACGGAGCGCAGTGGGCGGTACGCTGTTTTCAGAGCCTCTGATTGGGAAAAAAAGACCTGCTGATCAGTTTCACACACCAGGAAGAGAAAAGAATGGGATTTTTTCTCTTCGAAACGTGTGTTGTCTTTATGAAATTCGTGTATTTTGAACATTTAATTAAGAAGTAAAAACCTTACACCGTACACAAAGATTCTGAGCTGATCACGAGGAAGAAAAATCACCCATTTTTCGCGCATAAAAAGTGGTTTTTAACTCTCGAAACCCGTTTTTATAGGTTTTAAAGTCGTGCGATGTCTAAGTTAAGCAGGAACACATCATTATATCTCATTTTTTATTTCTTTTAAAAAAAAATAAAATCGTTTGCCCAGCCTAATAATACCTTATTTTTTCCCCCTAAATAATACCAGTTTTGAACATGTTTTGATAGGTCCACTTCACAGTCATTAGAGTTCAGTTATTTGTCCTTCAAACACAACCAGAACGTGTTCCAGTCATGTAGCTACAGTAGTTCCTGGCTAAAGATCATGATTTAAATAAAGGCAAACATTCACAGGCAAATATGAATGGTGAAAGAACAGCAGTTATAAAAATAACAGCACACTTAGGATTAATATTGATTTCTACCTGTTAGTGATCCCTTAGACAGTTCACTGAGGATATCAAATACCTGATAATCTGATACTCTTGAGCAAAGCAAGAGGTACTGGAAGTTACTGAGGAAAGAAAGCTTTCAAAAATAAAAACAGATACAAATAAATCCAGTCATTTATCATGTGTAAAAATATATTAGAATGCAACTCTATACTTCCATTGTATATACTGTATGTATAAATATTGCATAGTATGAACATGCTAAATGCTAATTAAACCTCACTTATACTGATTATACTGATAGTTACACTAAATCTAAAAGTGAAACCAAAACGTTTGCCATCTTGACACATGAAACTTTGCTTTTTAATTTAGGACTCAGCAAAAGAAATGTGCACCACTTGTGAATTAGCCGATAACACAAGAACACTGCAATAACTCTAGTAGCACTTGCCAGCTTGGGGTTCTAGGTGCGCTGTGCTGTGCTGTGCTGTGCTGGAAGTTTGGAAGAAGGTTATACAAACAGTGAAGCTGGGCTCTTCCATACTGAGCCATGTTAACATTAACCTCACAGTTAAGACTAAATACAGGGCTGCAA